AGAATTAAAAATATAACTTTACTCCCACTGACCTTCAAATATATGCATCGATCAACAATGTTTTCTTTAAATCCAAAGGAAACAATGGTATCATTAAACTTTAAATACCATTGGCGGGAAGCTTGCTTAAGTCCATATATTGATTTCTTTAATTTGCACACCATGTGTTCCTTTCCTTCAACCGAGAACCTCATTGATTGGTCCATGTAAACATTCTCCTCCAAATTTCCATTTAGAAAGGCGGTTTTCACATCCATTTGATGTAGCTCCAAGTCATAATGGGATACTAATGCCATGATAATTTTAAAGGAATCTTTTCGTCAGGTGAAAAAGTCTCTTTGTAATCAATGCCATCTTTTTGAGTAAAACCCCCAGCAACAAGTCTAGCCTTGTATCTTTCAAGGTTGCCATCAGAGTCACGTTTAATCTTAAAGACCCACTTACAACCAACTCTCTTGCAACCTTCTAGCAATTCTACAAGGTCCCAAACATCATTTTGTTCCATAGATTTTAATTCTTCTTTCATGGCATTTAACCATTTTTCAGAATTATCACAACTTACAGCTTGTGAAAACGAAACTAGATCATTCTCATTAATACTTGAGTCAGTTTCTAACTCATGTAGATGTACCATATAGTCATTTGAAATAGTTGGTCCTTTTTCTCTTTGTGACCTTCTTAATGCTATTTGTTGTGGTTGTTCTACAATAGGTTCATTATGAATCATGGGTTCATTATTGTGTTGCTCTTCTTCATTGTTGTTTGACACAACAGTTAGAGAAACACTTACTTTATTGTCAGAGGTATAAGTCAAAGGAACTCGCATTCTAACTTCTTTGACTTCCACTTTTTGTGACATAATGTATTGCTTAGTAAGGGATGACAAACCAAAACCCTTGACAATTAATTTTTCCCTCTCACTCAACAAGTCATGAGTTCACTTTGTGAGATTTAAAACCCTCTTTGAATCTACTCTTGCTTAGTGATGATGAGCTCTTTCTTAGAAAACTAAAGCTTCACTTGCATTCTCAATTTTGCTCAACAAGGTAACCCATTCGCCTAGCGCGAGCATCTAGGTCATAGATCTAGATCTCACAAGATTCTTGCTCAAGATGCCTTTTCAAATGAGTTAGGTTAGGTTGTACTTTTCAATCCTTCAACTTTTCAATCCACCAATCCAACTAGTTAAATGATAGGTTGCGTTAAGTTAACTTGTCGAATTGACCACTTTTTTTCCTTGGATTTTAGTTATGGACATTAACTTATAATATTTTACTTCTAGTTCATTTGTTTAAGGTTTAGGGTTTAGGGTTTACTTATTTTATTATTATTGGTGAACTTAGTTGTAATGTGAATTGATTTTATTGTCATTGAACTTATTTGTGAAATTGTGGTTATATACTGTGAATTTATTTTAATGTTGTTTATAAACTTATTTTATTATTGTTGATGGTCATATTAAGCATGTGTTCCATTGAATATTTGAATTGTTATTAGTTTCATAATATATTTTTTTTTATTATAAAATTTTAGATAAATTTAAGGCAAATAAAATAAAAAATAGCTAGTTTATAAAATTATTTAAAAATGGGTTGGCCTGAGGTGATTGGGATTTTCAACTCAATGAAAAAATAAGTTTAACTTAACCCAATATATTTTCCAACTAGTTGAATTGGGTTGACCTATTTGACACCCTTAATTTACTTTATAACAATTTTAAGTTAAATGGGTCAAGAATATATTTAGATATACTTCTGCAAATACACTTTTAGGTGAAGAAAAAATGATTAACAAATGGAACCGGCTTTTCCAAAAGCTAAAATTAGTAGGGGTACGTATTCACAATCGGATTGGTTTGAATTTGAAAAAAAAAATGAAATTCAAATCAATTAATTTTAATTGGTTTAGATTGATTCAAATTTTAGAATTTTTTTCTAACTAATACTAGACCAAGTTGATGTTGAATAAGTTAGTTCAATTCTGGGCATCGAATAATAAAAAAAATTGTTTTGAAAATTTTAACATAAATATGATTTTATCTCAAAATTGACAAATAATGTTGTCATAAAAGAATCGTAAATTTTAATATTTGAGTGTAACTGACTTTACACTAATTAAATAATAACATTAATTATTAAAAAAAAACTCATGAATGATTGATTAAATAATATTATTCTATTTATAATAATAGAAAGAAAATTACCAAATATGTCCAACACAAACCAAAGCGTTTGACATACACCAATATTTACTTTGTTAACCAGTAAAATAAACAAAAAATAGATAAATAGTTGGTTTGGATTAGGTTGACTCAAATTTCAAAAGTACGAACCCGATATTCAAACTACTCAACATCAAATTTCAATTAATTTGGTTTGGGTCCAACCCAAACCGAGAAAAATACGAACTAATTTAATTGATTCACTTCAAATATTTAAGTTTGTTGCCATATCAATGAATACCAAAAAATTAGTTTATACATTAATCAATTTATAAAAATTCTTCTATATTAGTTTCTCCAAAATATATTTTTAACTTATGTCTTAACAAATTTTAGCTAATAAATAAACATGTTATACATATTTTTCATTTTTAATTTGATATCTTATAAATGTTTTTGAAAATATTTATCAAAATAAATTCTAAATTGTGCATTTCAACATAAGAGAAAAGTAGAGTGTAAATTACTCATATAATTATAATAATTTTTAATAATTAATTTTTATTTTTTATAAAATTTTCAATGTACTTTTAGTAAAAAAAAAATTATATTTGAAAGTGCCTTACTCTAATCGAAGCTTTTTGTAAAATAATCTTTAATAACATAAATGTCAATCTTTTCAAAATTATCACATATTAATGATTTGGGCAGGATATAGATAAAAATAAAACAAAAATTAAATTTGATAATTATAACTTTCTTACTCTTTAGAGAAAAAGTTATTTCATTGTAAGTGTTATAAAAAATCATTTTAATTCTCGCAATGATAAAAGATGGCATAGAATTTATTAAAATTGTAGTTTATATATTAAGAAAAAATAATTAACTTTTATTTGAAAATTTAGTTATACATTTTCTAAAAATGAAAAAATTAAATCAATCTCTACTTAAGAAAAGTGGGTTCTTCATGTGATGAAATCGTGATAAGTCGATGATATGAAATAATCTTTGTACACAATAATAGACTATATGTCTAATGTGTTTATTTTGAATGAAAAGTAACGTAATTTTTGTTATGATTGTATTTCAGAAGCATTCTTAACTATCTTTGACATTTACATTTTCTCTTCTTTTTTTTATTAAAAATTGTCACCTTTTATATAAATGTATCATTCTCTAATCTTCTTTCCCAACTCTCTTAGTTTCTTTCACTCTCCCTTTCTTATTCTCTTTGTTGTGTCCTTGATGGAAAAGGATCAAGGTTCACATGATATGGACTTCTTATTGGGAGATAATTCATCGAGTCCCTCTAATTGTAATAACTCAAGTGAAAGCAAAGAGAACATGAACTCACCAAACCAAACAAAGGAAGAAGGTGAACTCCTTTTGAATAAGAAGCGAAATCGAGAAATCATTGATGAAAATGAGAAGAAGAGTATTACTAGTGGTGAAGGAACAAATGGAAAGTATCTAGATTCTGACCATGAAATGCATCTATCAATTGAGAGAGAAAGGAGGAAGAAAATGAATGACATGTATTCTAGTCTTCAAGCTTTGCTTCCACCACGTCCTTCTAAGGTATGTGTTCAATTTAGTTCATTTTCATTCTTCAAGTTCAAAGTTGTTTAAGGGTAATCATTAATTTCAATAATTTTATTGTTTACAAATATTTTCCTTATATTAATTATTGAATCACATGTTTCTATTTCTCTTTCATTTGACTTAATTTTTTTTCTTCAAAAATGATGTCTTTTTATCTTCCGTCAAATTGATCTGACACATATCAAGTTTCAAAGTTTTTTCATCCTTTTCTAACATGGACTATTAAGAATTTAAAATTGACACAATCTTTTCTGTCATTCCATGTATTTAAAAGTCATTATATAAAAATTTATTTTTTTAGAAATTACCTATAAAATCGATATGTATTTTTCTCTTTCACGTCTTTAATATTTTATATCTATGCTCTTAAAGTTACAAAGGAAAATATTCAACTTTTAGATTTGTTCTATCCGCATCTCAATCATTTAAATAAATTAGGAGTGTTCATAAGATCATGTAAACAACAAGGCGATATAAACACTTAATTTTGGACTCAAACGAATAGTAATATATAATTTTTGTTGTAATTTAATTTTATAAAATCTAACCGGTGAGATAAATAATAATTAATATTTTAATTGAAAGGTATGTGTATGACGAATTAAAATACACGTGTTAATTGTAATATTTTAATTCCAATTTATTGTATCAAAACAATTATCATATTTAATACTACTTTCGTTCTTATGTAGAAGAAATAAATGAGAGTATTATTTTTATCTTAATTATAAGAAATATAAGTTTACTTTCAAATGTATTAATTGATCTATCCTCTTATCCTCTTAATTAATTATGAGTCTATTAATTAGTCATTCAATTACATCTTCAATGAAAATGGATCATTTATTTAATTACTAACACTATAAGTCATGTTAATAGGTCCTAAAAAGATATTTCTTAATTTATGAGCATTGTCATTAAATATAACTAACACTAACACCATTTAATTATATGAATATTTTTGAAATAAAATTTTAAATTATGACATTATTATTAAAACTAGTTAATTTAACTACGGTCTTGTGTATAGAATAAAGATAACATTTTTTATACATAGTATAAAGTAAATTTATATCGTTAAGACTTTATTTGAACAATTTTTTTAATATAAAACTAAATATATTATAATTTGTATTTATTATATTTAGTATATTTTTAAAATTTTCATAGACCACCAAATTTCTAAGCACAATTCTGGGTGTTCATTAGTTCACATCAATGTAACGAATTCCACAGTTTAATTCAAATTAATTACATTATTTCAAATTTTTTTAAAGTTAGATTCCGACCCTAACCAAACCGATGAAATTAAACTTTTATTGGCTTAGATATCGGGATTATACATTGTAAACCCAATGATCTAAGACTCAAATCAGCCACTCTTACAACCTTTCTTTTAATTATTATAGATGAAGTTTTATGGCATAAATATTCTTTTTATTGTATTTAATGTTATTTTTTATTGGTATAAAGCAATTTCGTTTGAATATGTTATTTGTATCCTTTTATCGACGAGGAGAGATCCGTTTATTTCAAGAATAAATTTACCTAAAATTATTCTGTTCAATAATTCATGTTCTACATTAAATTTTAACGATCTAACCATTGAAATTAAAATTCTTTATGCATAGATCAAATCTGTAAATTTTTAAAAAAATTGAAAATTATTTGATACTTCGTTTCATTAATTCAAATTGACAGATAATCAAAAAAATATTATATATATTGATTTGAATAAATGAAACAAAGTATCAAATAGTTTTTAAATTTTTTAAAAATTTACAGATTTGATCTATTCATTAAGAACTTTAATTTCAACGGTTTGATTGTTGAAATTTGATGTATAACATGAGTTATTGAACGGAATAAGTTTATGTAGACTTACTCTTAGAGTAAATGGATCCCTCCTCTTTATCGACATACTTATGTTTGAATTTTGGAATGAAATCATGTATTTTTTAATTTTCAAAAAAAATTAAAATTTAATTTTTTATAGTAGAAAATCCAACTAATCCGAATTGAACCAACTTATTAATCGGATTAATTCGATTCATGTTGTAAAAAAATAATAGGCAAATCCGATCTAATAAAAAATGTTTGGTTTGAACAAAATATAGTTAATTACATTAGTTTTATTTTCCTAAAGTCGAATCAAATTGACTTGTAAATACTATTAGATGATGTTTGGTAGTGGTGAAGTTTTTTCATACTCATGAATCATGAATCATGATTTATGAGAATTATAATTTTTTGGGAGTTATGATGTTCAAAAATAATTAAAATATGTTTAGTTACTCATAAAAGATCTTAGAAATATTTATACATGATTATCACGAATTAAACATTTTCATGTTTGGTTATAATAGTACATTCATGGATTTATAAATATTTTTTACAAAAATATTCTTTATTAAAATAAACTCATCATATATATCTATTTACTTAAATCTTATTACAAATATGATATTAAAATATTTTAAAAAGTTAAAAACTTATTAAAATTATTTAAATGCAAAATTCAACAAAAATAAATAAATAAATGCTACATTATAATTAAGAAGAATAAAAATATATTATTTTATTTTATTCAAATAAAAAAAGTGTAATAAATATCATTAAAATATAAAAATAAAATAAATTTTAATAACATTATTAAAATTGACAAGATAAAAAAATAATGAGATATAAGAGAGAAAAATAAAAATATGAGAGGCAAGGTGAGAAGGGAAGGAGAATGAGAGAGGAAATGCAAGTGAGAGAGACATATTGAGAAAGAGAAATAAAAAAAATATTTTTTATTTTAAAAAAAGATACCGTAATCTTTTCATATACATAAAACTTTTTCCTAATTCAGAAAAGTTGACCGCAGCAAATAACTTGACCGAACATCTTAAAATAGAAATCTTTGTATACTTGCTCAATTCCTTTAACTATTTATGCACATCTCACTCACAACAAATTAAAACCGTTGAACAAAGGTTACATGAAATCTCTTATACAAAAAATGAGTCAAAATTTTTTTATTGTAATGATTTGGTAATATAATATTTGTTTAACATCTCACTCATTAATAATATATGATTTATGCAATTATTATATATTTGATTGCAAATTTGAATTCAATGTGGTTAGAAATGGTGTATTTAGATGAACCAATGTCATTTCATCTCTATTCAATTGTTGAGATGTCTAATTTACAAATAATATGGTTCTTAATTACTTTTTAGACATGACTCAATTTAAATCGTTGGATGTAGATCAAATATTATAATTTTATTTTTAGAGGCGTTTGCCATACAAAATAAATTTTAATTTTTCAATAATAAAAAATATTAGTTTCTATCAAACAACTTCTGTACCTGTCTGAAGGGTACACTAGTAATCTTCTCGTACTCTGAGGGTCGAACGAGAGTTCCAAACGAATATTTCGGTGAGAGGGAGGGTACCTGCAAAAGGCACTCCGACGCTCAAGTCAGGACAAACACAAATATCAATAGTAATTAATGAACAGTGACGTTATCTCGTGACATGAGCTATTTATACCGACATTAATGGACCCTGATTTCCCTGGGCCCTGCAACAGGATTACCGTATTAGATAATACGTCCCTAATGGGTTTATCAGTGTAATTAACCCTTAATTCTTGATTAGGGGTAATTCCTGAGTCCATGGTGTACTGCACTTGGGACTTCGGCTACTCGGTAGTCGATTGGGTGTCGACTACTAGGTTCGGCTATTCGATAACCGATCGGGTGTCGGCTATCCGGTGGCCGAGTGCTCTTACCTGTACACCTTCTTTATGAATCATTTTTTAACTGTACTAAATCAAAAGTGAGGCTTATGTGACAGAAAAAATTGTTTGGCTATGATGTTATGACATTTGAAAATTTCATAGGCGGATAAATCAACCATTGTGGATGAAGCAGTGAACTACATAAAAGATTTAGAGCAAACCCGCGAAAAGCTTGAGAAACAGAAACAAGAAAAGTCACAATCTGCGTCTGCTCTCAAACAAATTATGGCAACTTCTAGTTCAAACGCGCTTCCTGTCCCTGAGAAGCAGCAAGTAGCTTTCGATAGAACATGGGCCGCTTCGAATATGGTCATGAACATTTCTGGAGATGAGGCCCAAATCTCCATCTGCACGGCCCATAAGCCTGGCCTCATGACCCACATCGCTTCTGTGCTGGAGAATCACAACATTGATGTCATATCTGCTACTATCTCTGCCAATGGTAATGGAAAAACATCCATGATCCAAGTTCATGTAAGTTTCAAATTCATTTTCAAAGTTACTATACTTCTGATTAATTAATTTCCCATACATTAACTTAGCAAGCTCTCTGCATTACTTGCTTTCAATCCCGTTTATATGATTTGGTTTCCTAATGGAATATAGGTAATAAGTTTCTCTTACATCTAACAGGTATTATTAAATTTAGGTAGAATTTCAAAGTCAAAATGAAAAGGTATAATGTGATATGGATTCAAAAGTTAATGTTTTTAATTTATAGCTTGTTCAGCAACTTAAATAATTTTTCAAAATAACGGGTGAGATCGAGTCAAAGTCAAAGTCGAACAAATATGAAACATTATTACCAATTCTAATTAGGAAAGGAAAATTAAATGTTCATTACTATTAAAAAAATATTTTGCTGATTTAAGAGGCTATCAATCCTCGCAATAAATGTTAATTGTGTAATTCCTCTATACTTATATATAAGGTAAAAATATTTAAATTTTTTGAACTAAAATATAAACAAATTTTAATTAAATCAACATTATTTAATGTTCTTAAGTCAAAAATATCATTAAGATAATAAATGAAAATACTATCTACTATAGGTGTAGTTAAAAATATTTTAGTAATGTAGTATATATTTTATTTGAAATCATGAAAATTAAATATATTTAATTAACTTTTTTAATCTGTCTAAAATTAGTCCTTTTTTTTTCTCTTATATATAAGTTTAGAGAGAGTAGTAATAATAACTTGATATCAAAATATGTCAATAAAAAAAAATTGTAAAATAAAATATTATATTTAGTAGTACATTTAGGAGACAGTGATAATCCAACAAAAAAAAATACTTATACAAGTAATATGAATATAATTTAGAGTTTGTTTCGATAAATTTTTTCAAAAATATTTTTAAGAAATAAAAATCTCTAAAAACTAATATTAATTTGTAGGAGTACATAATCTAATATATGTAAGCTCTTCGATTTTAACTTTTTTAAAATATACTATATTTTTTTAACTTACGAAAAAAAAATCCTCCAAAGTATCATGGAGAAGATTATTGAATTAGTTTAACTAAACTGAATTGTTGATCTTACAGGGAAAACAAGCTTCGGGTGCAAATTCAGTGGAGGAAACTTACAAGCAAGTGGCTGAAGAGATTATGCCATGGATCGCTTAAAATTTTGGATGATAAAAAACTTACATTATCATCATGCTAGAAAGTTTTTATGCCTAAACTTGGATGGTTCTGAAGGCAAATAAATATATAAATGCTTTCATATGCAGGCATGGGCAAAGTGAGCCCTTCTTAAAATATATCTATCTTTGATAGAATTTAAAGTGCATTATGATCTAAACATATAAGATTTTAAAATAAATAATTTTTTTCTGTCTCATTAAAACAAACTCACTTTATTTTTAAAAATAAACAAATTAACTGTGCACCAATATGCCATAGGTACAAGTGAAATTAGGTTTGGATCTCTTATGAAAGGTCTCAATATCTCTAATTGAGATTATTTATTGAAAAAACAATGTAAATATTTCACATTAATAACATAGTTACTAAAAATATTTTTTTAATTTGTTTTAAAATTTTATTTTATATTCTTTTTTCTTCTCAAAATTTAACTGTAATTATATTCGAATTTTCTTTCCTGTATCATCCACTTCCATAAATTTACTTTTGTTTTTAAAATCTACTCTTTGTCAGACATACTAATTTGAGTTAATTATGCATATTCTTCTCTTTGTTCTTCTTACCACCAAACGTTGTAGACGGTCAAATAATTTGGCCCAAGTGAAAATTTAAGTGGGCCTATAGAGTTATGAGCTATACCTTATTTATGATTTAATGATTTAACTGTTAAAAAAAGTAAATAAATACTTTAATTTGGGTTTCCTATGGTTATTTTTGGGTCAATGGTTTCCTACCAAAACTTTGTAGATGATCAAATAATTTGGCCCAATTAAGAATTTAAGTGGTCAAGATCACAAATAATCAACGTAGCCTGCCTCTTGCCTTATTTAGTTACATCTAATCATGTTGATGCAAAAATTTTAAGCCTGGCAGTGGAACAATTTCTTTACTTTATAAATAATTTAGTTAATCACCATAAATTAATATTTGTTTTTATGTCTTAGAGTCTATTTAGATATAGATTAGAAATGTTTTTGAACATTTCTCTACTGAAAATAAATAAAAAAGTAGTTTTTTGTAAAGAGATTCTCAAAATTTACTTCTAAATTTGTATTTAAACACATTCTTATATGTGAACAATTCATTTTATAAATAAATGTATGCATACAAGATGCAAACTGGCCTCAGCGTCAAAAACTAATAGTGAAACCAAATATATATCAGACAGTGTGTACTTCAGATGAGAATTCGCAAGTGTATGATCCAGAACAATAGTAGTCACCATCATGGACAATGGGGCCTTCACAAACCCCTCTTAGTCCTTGACAACAACAGTTCCACTCGTGGTCTCTGAACCCTTAAACAGGAATTGCACTATTCTGGAATCACCGACCTTTAGGCAATGGAACTTGAGAACCAAAGCAGTGAAGAAGAGCACTACTGCACGTGTGGCTACTCACTTTATTAATTTCAATAGTGTGTGAATGTGATAGTTGAATGCAAAAGAACCCCATATGCATGGCATGCACATAGGTAGTAGTAGTAGTAGTCGTCATTGCTCACTATAAGACGAAGACCCTTGTGCTAGTGTTTGAATTGTTGTCTGCAGAAAGCATCCAATTGTGCTGTGGGACTGCTGAAAACAACTCATCAAGCACGCGAATGAACAGAACAGCCTCATTGTCAAGCATGAATGATATCATCCTCCAATTAAGAGGTGAAACAAAGTAAAAAATCAATTTGACTTGTTTTTCTTGGAGACACCCAAAAGCAGCAAAGCACAGATCAGATGAATATGAATGATTAATGAAATCCCACCCTGCGTATCTCTGCATACAGTATACAATCTCTGACTTGAAGAATACTTTGCTGGAAAGGTTCCCCATCAACTCTTTCCATAGGTGACGTGTTTGGCCATGTTGAGATGAATTGAGTGGTTGGTGTCCCAAAAGGGGGAATAAAAGATAATTGGAAAAAGCTAAAAAGGGTGACAGTAGAGGATGGGTCCCGAGTGCCACATATCCTGAGGTTGGAAGACAAAATAAAGCGACCGTGGATCAGAAACAAAGTTAGGGTGGGCATGTGATGTGTGAGCACCAGTAGTGGTAGTAGTAGCCATCACAAAAATTGAAAAAGGGGTGAAGAGAATAACAAATAAGCAAGCACCTATGTACCCATGTGATACCATACCATGGTTTGATTCTCACCAACATGTGACCATTATCCCCTCTATTTGTAAGCCACATAAACCATTTTTCCCAGTCCTTGTATTAGGACCCACCATGTTCCCTCACATGTGCCCCCTTTCCCTTTTATTCAAAGACGTTTCAAACCCGTGCAAGCCCCCTGTTCTCACTCTTTTGTTCTTCCTCAAACTTCATAGTCATAGACTAGTACGCTATTCTACTACAAGCTCACAGCAATGGCCCATACCAATACAATAGCCTTCCAGTAACTATTGTTTCATATACTTTTATCGTGTACTGTCAATTCCTTTTTGGTACACTTGCTATGTCAATTATAAAATACTATCACGTAAGTTTGAGCTTAACTTTCGGAGATTCCAATTCCACCCACACCCACGTATCATTTTTCACCAATAAAACAAGAAAATAAAAAAATCTTGGGGTCACGGTATGGTCCAGAACAACGTTCGAAATCTGATGTACCAAAAAAAGGATGAAAAGGGGGGTACATCTTTCTTCTTTTGTGAGCAGTAGCAGCCACCATGGATAGAAGTCACCAACATAATGATTATTCAAAATGATGTTCCTCGGAAGTCAAAAACACTTCCGTCTATGGAGCTAACAGAAACGTGTACTTCACCGAATGGCAGTGAATGTTTTCTTTCCACCCAATAAACCACAAGGTTCCCACATGCAAGCAGATTCACGAATACTAACCAAACCACCAACCAATACAATCATAATGGGGGAGAGAAAAAAGGAAAAAAGTTAGCTCTATTTTCCATCTTACAAAAATTACAACCTCTGATGTAACACTTTGCTTTCGTTCTTCACAATAATCGTTACATACAAAACAAAGATAAGAAAAATAATTAAATACAGAATTGCAGTTCTATTTATTTACCAATCTAAACAAAAAAAGAGGAAAAAAAGACTCTAATTAAGCTTCAACTTCACAATCTTTGTCCATTTTTTTTTTCCTTTCTTCAAATCTAAACAATTTTGTTTTTCACTAAAATTATGGAGATTATTACAACAAAATGGTCAAAAAGGAACCACAACGACCTGGCTGCATCCAAAATCGTCAGAAATTCCGATGGAATCTTGCGGCCACGAATCCCGAAGAAGCTTCAGCAACATCTGCGCCTTCCTCTTCGCTCTCTCCGTGCAATCGCTCTGCACCAGAAGCAGAAGCTGAGTCAGCACCCCCGCCGCCACCGCCTCCCGCTGGCACCGCTCCGATTCGGAGCACAGCGACAACAGCGCTCCGGCGGCGTACTCCGTCGCGCGGTCCGATATCTTCAGAATAATCTTCACCAGCATCGGCACCGTCAGCGCGTGGCCGGCGAACGCCGCGCATCCCTCCGGAATCCGGCAGAGGAGCTCCACCGTCGCCAGCGCCCTCTCCGCGTCGCATTTTTCAAAGTCCGCGAGGCGGTCGACCAGCACCGCCGGCGCGGCGGCGGCCACCGCCTTGTGGCGCGTCTGCTTCACAAGACACAGCGCGAACAAGGCCTTGATCCCGATCTTGAGCGCGCGCGGGTGCGAGATCGGATTCCGGAGCAAATCCACGACTCCGTCGTAGATTTCGTCGACATTGCTGACCTGCGCGCGGAGCTCCGGCGAGTGCGTCCCGGCGACGACGATCTCGATCAGCGCGGCCGAGTTGACTCGGACGTCGAACGAGTTGTGAGACAGCAGCCGCGAGAGGTAGTTAATCTTCTCCGAGTCGGAGGCGAGCGCGGCGCATTCGGACTCGGCGAGTGGAAACATGACGAGTAGCGCGAGCGACTCGTGGCGCAAGTCGTCGGCGGCGGCGTCGAAAACGATGGAGAGTAGGATCTGGCGGACGTTGTGCGAGGCCGAGGCAATGAGGGAGCGGTTCTTGTCGGAGTCGCGAGCGAGTTGTCTGAGTCGACGGAGCGAGTTGAGGCGAAGGTTTGCGGGAGCGGAAACGGAGGATGTTTGGTTGAGAAGGGAACGAACCAAGGCTGGGTCTGCGGGCTGTTTGGGAGTGGGGATTCGCTCGACGCCAAAAGCGCGGTTATCGACGCACCACTCTTGGATAAGACGGCGTAGGGTGTGGTTAGGGATTAGGGTGAAGTCGGTGAGAGTGGCTCGTGTGACCGGGCACGTTGTGTTCCCGGTGCTAACCCATGACTCGATGCTGGCTCGGTCATAGGTTTGACCGGTGCAGACCGTGACGGGGTCTCGCATGAGTTCGAGCGAGATTGGGCACCTGAAGTGGTAGGGTATGTGAACCCCCAAATCCAAGGGTTCTAAACTCCCGGGCATTGTAATTGTTATGACTTATGAGATAAGAGAGAAA